GTTCTGGATACTCTCCTCCTACTGCACTTTAGTCTCCCTGGTCAATAACACAGGTGGAAAATATCATCCTGTCCCATTTCCTCAATTTTGGTCATGCTTCCCAACAATAATCTACCTTGTGTATGTTATACGCAGATCATTTGGTACATAGGATTGGATGGGATGTCCCATTGTTATTGCCATCCAGTCCTGTTCAATATTCGTGCTTAACACATTTTCAAGGCAAAGTTAGAAACTATTAGTTTCAATCATTGAATTAATTCTTTCTACCTCACAAAGGTAGGGGTAAGGTCTGCGTACATCCTACCCTCCCCAAACCCCACTTGTGGGATTACACTAGGGATGTTGTTGTAATCATTGAATTAATAACCAAAGTCTTACCAGCACTTGTCAAATTTGCCTAATTTGAAGTTATACTGCAGTAACAAGATTAATTAAAGAACTGAAGCATTAACTTTAATAGGCTAAAAAAGGAAACAAAATGAGCAGAGAGGGAGAAGGGGAGGTCTGGACTGTTGATCAATGAGAAGGAAAATGGTCAAACAGGACGACTGAAACCAAAAGAAGATGTTGTTTTGCAGCTCAATTTCAGGTGGAGAAAGGGAAGAAGATGAATTGTAGTGCAAAAAGAAGAAGGGGAACGGTGGAATCACAATGAGAAGGGCATCGTGTTTGTGCGACAAGAAGGGGTAGTGGTGTGTGGCCTGCCAAGAGGAATAAAGACGACTAGGAACTTATAGGAGCTTTATATTAGGCTCTGAATGGTCATTTTGTATTCTTTCAGAATGAGCCATAATCCAGGGAAGTAAGTCCTGCCAAACCACAAAAGAGAAGATATGGAGTGTCTTTCAAAAGATAAGATACTGAGGGTGTCCAGACAATTAATCCACAGTTATGCAATCTGCGGACATACCAAAATGTTGGATTTTGGCTGGGTAAGTTTTATTGTGACTTTGATCCGTCTACCAAATGACCTTTTAGAGAATTTCATCCATCATCAAGCACCTCCCCAAACGCTAAACCATAAAATAGTGTCATTTGCTTCTTCAATTCCTTCGTACATTGCATGCCATGTTGCCTTATTATTGATGCATCGTTCTTTTTTTAAGGTTGAACCGATTGGTAGCCCCCTAAAGGTGGCACGACTTTTCACTTGGACATCTTAAGTAAGCCTTGACATTTTGAACACTTGACAACTTAAACTTTGGGTTATTAAACACTTTTTTCTGGCAATCAATTAAAACTATAAAGTGTGTATTGCACTCGCACGTGATGTGGCATGATGACTAATTAAAAGAGGACATGTGGCATTTGGGTCTAGAATAATAATTAAAAAATAAATTATAAGAAAAAGTAAAAGAAAAACTATTTTTTCAAAAAAGAACGTACTTCCTAAACCCCACATACCAACCCCTCCTTCCCCAGCCATTAAAACTCCCTCACCAGTAGTCATCCCCCTCTCCATCTTCTTACCTCACATTTCTCAATTGGTTCAAGGATCTTCTTCCCCATTCTATACAAGGAGGAAGAACTGAGTTTCTCTGGAAAAAAATAATAAATTTGTATGAACATTCCCGCAAAAGATGGAGTGCTTGACCCTTCGGGGTGGCGGGACTTCCATGTTGGAGGTCTCAAGTTCGAAACCCCTTGCCAACGAAAGCAAGGTTTTGCCTTCTGGGTCGAACTCGTCGCACCGGGCTTGCCTAGTGTGGGTTACCTCTATGTGGTTTGCGAGCTATTGCATAGGAGTGGGGGTTTTACCCTGTGCGCACCCAAAGGGTAGTGGCTGTGGGTTTCCCTTGTCATCAAAAAAAAAAAGATGGAGTGCTTGTCGGAAATTTCTTGAAACCCAGATCTGAGTTTATGTCTATATTAGACCAAAACAACATTCTTGACTGGAAAAGGAGTGAAAAGGTTCTTTCTTTGAGGAATTGGAACAAAAATGGCAACAATCACGGGTGGGTATAAGCATCATAGGACCTGTGGTGAGTGGTAGCATGACATTTTCAGTGACCAAAAGGGCGTTACCCAAGTTGAAACGGAGCTCAGAGTTAAGTCTCGTGACGTCTCAATTGAGTGGCCTCAAGATTTCAAGCACCCATTTGAGCTCTCCTGCTCCACTTTCTGTTCCTTTCAATCCCTCCCTTTAATATGTTGCTCGTAAAAATGGAGTTTTTTCCGGTGAACAGATAACAACGGTAGAAGATTTTTTGATGGTAGAATATTAACTGGAGAAGAAAGAGAAAAAGAATAAAGAAGGAAATAAAAAGAATAAAAGAACAAAAAATATGGTTTTTTTAGGCTCTTCACGCGTCTATTTTGTGAATACTACACAAGTTGCCAAGTCAGCGAAAAGTGTCAAAATGACACAATCCGACCTTACTTTAGTTGTTTACAATGTACAAGGCTTACTTGAGTCTTGAGGTGTCTTTAAGTGAATAGGCGTGCCAACTTTAGGGGGCTACCGATGAGTTCCGTCTTTTTCTAATGGCTGAGAAATTCGTTGTTCTAGCTTCGGAACTCGGGGATAATGGGCCAATCGCTCTACCTTCTCCACTTAAATACCAAACTTGGCACAATCTTCAAACTCCTCTTTGAGATTAAACTTATTTTCATTTTGGATTGTGGCATATATCTTTTGAGATTAGTAACAATTTTTATATACCAATCCACAGGCTGTGCAAAGCCATATATACAGAAATGAAGCTGACAAAAAACCATCCTTCTCATCATTACCATTTTTTTTAAAAAAAACAAAAAACCATCCTTCTCTACTTACAAAGATTCTAAAATTTTAGGATTGATTCAGTGTCCATTAGGAATTTTTCTTTAAACCAAAAATGAAACAACGATAGGGAGTTCATCTTAATCTTCTGCATTGGACTACCCTTAGCTTCAAGTCATCTCAGATTTCTTTCCCCCCAAACAGTCCACCAAATGCAAGCTGGTATCAACTTTCATCTGCTTTGCTCTCTAGGTGAACCTCCTCCCCTTTCCAGCACTTCAGCAAATCTAAAGAGCTTTTTGGCATTGCCCATCTGATACCTTTTTGAGATACAAGCAAAAACACAGATCTTTTGCACCAGCCTGTAACATCACAGCTAATGCCCCATCACAACAGATTGCAATCGGTCTCAGTTTTCTTGCCACAACAATGACATCTAGAACACAATACCTCTCTTTTTTAGAGTTTTTCAGTTAAACAGACCTCTTTGACTACTAACCACATAAACCATCCCACTTTGTATGGAATTCTAACTTTCCATGTATGCTTCCACGCCCACAACTCTGGCTGACCGGGGGAATTCGTTCAGGATCCCATTTTGATTGAAAGTTATCTTCGCAAGTTAACTTATCAAAAGTGTTACCTTCGCAAGTTACTTATCAAAAGTGTTACCTTCGCAAGTTAACTTATCAAAAGTGTTACCTTCGCAAGTTAATCACAAAATTGGTTTAGAGGTGATACCCTCTACACTGATATTACTGAACATGAATAAGCTCAAAGTATGGAGTTAGATTAGAAACACTAGCTCTGCATCTGGCATTACTTGAAACTGGAATTAATATGTTAGCTTAGAAATGGTCTCTGTTAGCTTGCGAACACTAACTATGCAGCTGATGTTTCTTGAAATTGGTCAGGAATGAAATGTTAGGCCATATTTTCTAGTAGCCATCCAAGAACAAGTATGATTCATTGAGTCCTGGTTGTCAGTTTGCTGTAATTTACCTTTTCAGCGTCTTGCTACACCCTATAAGTTTGTCCAAAAAATGGCATGAACGTCACACTGAAATCTTAATAAGTTTACTTTCTCATTGCCAGCCTTATTCATTTGTCTTAATTGGATATTTCTGTGGCAGGTTCATGAGGATATTGAAGTCTTGGTATGTTAGTGGGGTTTTATACTGGCACTGGAGATGGGAAGCTGTAGCTGGAGTTATTGCTGGTTTCTGTACTTCCATAATGACAGTAATTCTTTTTGCACTCCTACGGAAGTTGTTTTCTTGCATATATCAACTTTCTGTGGTGAGAAGGTTTACTCTGCCATTCAATAAAGTCCGTTTAAGGAGAGTTTGTTTCCTGCTAGCTTATGTGTCATTTACTAGTTGGTTGGCCGTTCAATATTTCAGACGGATTGGTCTCCCTGAAATAGCAGTTTACTATAGCATGTAGCACTCATTTTTGTAGAAGTGCTAGAGCGTGTTGGCAGTTCAAGTTGAAATATGAAATTGTGTAATATCTTTGTACCAGTAGACACAGTTTTTACAGTGTTTCTACCATATGTTGTAATCTAGTTCCTTGTGTACAGAACAAACTGCAGGAATAAATACTAGTAAAAGTTTATCCCAGAGCATTATTCTGTGCCCAGGTGAATGAAGTCTAGTATTGTTCTTCTCTGGTGCTTTTTCTTTCTAGTTTGTGTTCTTCAGATGCGATAATACCTTAATCTGGCTGGTTACAGCAGGATCAGGTTACGAGTTAGTTGGCCGTTCTATCTTTAGCTAAACCACAAATTTACTGTCCCTTGAATTTTCCGGCCCCCAGTTGTTTGTCTATATTTGGGACTGACTGGTTTAAATCCTCAAACAAGATAGAACAATAGCTAGAGTATTATTTTGTTATCTAATTGATTGCACTAGCCAAAATTTGGTTGCTGCTATTTGATATATTTTTCCACTGATTCTTAGTCTACTGATGCATTACCACACTTTCTGAAGAACATTGCTATCTTGTTAAGGATGCAGTTTATGTATAATAAGACAGAAAATCGTCGATAGAACTTAGAAAACAAGGAAGTGAAAGGAAAATAGTTGGTCAGTTAGGAGATTTTATTATTAAAGAAAGAGCACAAAGAATACTGATGGAGAATTTGAAAATTTTCAAAATATTAGCAGAGAAGAAGATGAGACTATAAGAAATTCATACAGAAGCATCCTACAAGTTCATCACAATTTTTTTGATTTTGTTCTATATGAGACTGTAGATTTCTGCCACTTTAAATGTACTTATCACTTGAGATTTGGATTACAAACTGAAAACATGAAACATTGAGTTGAATTCAGCCTACTTTCCTATGCTTGTAGCAACCCCATAGGACCTCTTAAAGAAGCACGTTTGAAGCTGCTAAATAGCAACAGTATCTAAAACTTTCCAGATTCTGAAATGATCCTCTCGATTTCTCCAAGAAGGCGCTCTTTTTCCTTGACCAAATCCTCATTCTGCTTCTGCAGCTCTTCAATTTGTGTAGTCTGTTCAGAATCCTTTCTGTGATTATGCAAAAACTCTGATTAGTCACTAATCATGATTGCTTTACCATTTTATTGTCACTACAACTATATGGTTCACAATATCACAGACGTGAAGTGAAATCTCAAAATTGTTTCACAGAATTGATAGTCACATAGTAAGTAGTAAACAAGCTTGGAAACATGGACAAAGTTGTTGCATGTTCTTGGACTAACATTCCTCAATGTTGTGTTTGAACGTACCTATTCATAAAAGCCAGATTAAGTTTAAGTGAACGAACTTCCTTCTCCAGATTCTCGCAGCGTTTCATAAGGGATTGCATATCTGAAGGAATTGCTGGTGTTAAATTTCTCTCTTTGGCTTCTGCCATTCTGCATCAACATTGAAACCAATAAGCTTATGAAATGTATCATATTTTATGAGAAATTTTTAAGTGGCATACACATGAGGAACCACAAACAAGTAACTAAATAATAACCCTTCGCTTACAGAATAAGGTTTGCCTCAATATATCAAAAACAAAGATGTACAAAATCTAGCCATCACACAGTAATGATTGTGAAAAAAAAGGAGAGAAATTGGCAGGATATCCCGGTATTAGTCACAAGCAGTTATAGACTGGCATCAACTTTGGTTCTACTCTGGAAGCTCAACAGTCTCTAACATTTTGTTTATAAAGCCAGAGAAGACTCTTGGCTTTATCATATACTTGAATACATTTACCATCATCAGACACAGAAATAAAGTTTTAGGATATCCATTGTCAAACCAAAGTGCCTATCAGGACATATACCCAACTTTAAGCTGCATTCATTACTCGTACTTGAGTTGGATAGGGACACGGTTTAGACAAATTTAGCAACGAAAATTTCAAATTCATGCTCGAGTCAGGTAAGAAAAGTTGGTTTGAAATACAATCCTAAGCTTAGTCACACAACGTAGATAGAACATGGAAGACAACAAATATAGAGAACTAAGAGAAGGGACGAGAGACAAAACATCTGGTTGGACTAATCAAACTTTTGGCATGACAGGAGAAGGCCATGCAAACAAGAGGCATCAGTTTCGAGCAGCCTGAAATCTGAATAGGCCATGAAGTTGAAGCATCAGAAATTGCAAAGCTTTTGCAACTTGCAAGTATATGTGATGAAAAGCATGCATATGATGTTCCATTTAGAAAGGCAATATCACATATTCCAGGCCTTATAGAATATCAAGGTTAACTAACATCTCATACTTTTTGAAATTTGTTTCTGATTTCTGCTTCATATCATTGCAGGAAAATAAAGCTGAATAAGTCATATCGGAGGCAGAACAGGTGTTATCTACATAAAATTTCTACATCCAATAGTCTTACCAACCACATGAGAAAGGACTATTCACTATGAAGGAATGTAGTAAAAAAAGAATAAGATTCATGCAAGTTCAGAAAGGACTAATTACTAAGAAGGAATGTAGTTGAAATAAGATTCATGCAAGTTCAAAAAGGACTAATCACTAAGAAGGAATGTAGTCAAAAAAAGAATTAAGATTCATGCAATTTCTTAGAATAGTTGTACATACTTCCGAGACCGCTCCACCCTTCTCTTCTTCTTGGGATCTCCATTTTCCGCTGCATTTATTCATGCCGGTTAGAAGAGAACAGCATGAAAGCAATTAAGTAACATCATGCTGTCATATAATATAGCATCTGCACGTGATTAAACCCCAAAGCTTTTGATCTAACAGTCAACAGAATTACATAGATTGAACTTTGGAGCATAAACCTCAATATAAGAATGAAAACAGATTACTAGCACAGTTGGGCTACTCAAGATATTTACAAGCTCAGTTTTCTCATTACTAAGACAGTTCAATCTCATGGTAAGCATGTACCTTTCAAATTTACTTTGCTCTCTCTTTCGAGAACTCTTTGATCTTTATAAAATGTCAGAAAGAATATAACAAACATCTTATTCCTTCTATTCCCGGAACAAGAAAGAACCCTAAGGTCAATATTTATAGATTTGATTCTTACTTTATTTTTTCCAGTTCCACTCCTTTGATTGCATGATTCATTTTGTAGCCTTTCTAAATATATGCAAACAACTGAACCAATTTCGGCAGTATTGCAGTGCCAACATATTCCATAAGTTCTTCCGATATGCTCATTGCTTTATTGATTTTCACCTAACAAGTGATCTAACCTAAACTACTTTGGAGTTTCAGGATAGGAAGACATAGGGAGACAGAGGTAGAGAGAGTCTGCATTAATGCAATAGGAAGCAACAGGCATGCCACCACCATGTTTGAAAAGAACATGATCAACGTCGGTACATTTACAAAAAAATTTAAACAGATATGAAAGTGAAAAAGCAAAGATGTGATATTAATTCATTGCAGTCAAATGTCTTAGTTACCTGATTGTACTGATGTCAAAGATCCATTTCGAACTAAACCTTCTTTCTGCGATGTATGAACAGATAGGAGAAATTATCATCAGCCTGAACCATCTCACTATTCTAAGTTGAACATTAGGTAATGTTGTTTCCAATTCCAAGGACATATGAGTAGAGAATACCTTTTGGTTGTCCTTCACATTATCATATATTCGTTCTCTAATATCTGCAGTTCAACAGTAAATGGCTATATTAACAAACTTGTGAGCAAAGCACAACGCTGATTTTGGAGAACAATCATCTCAAATACGTGCACTATGTGAAATCTAAAGTTCCAATTAGTATCATTTCTTAGTTTGAAAATCTAAATATCATCTCTCTGTTTGAAGAAAGACCTTGTTTACACAAATTTGCTAAGACGTGCAAGTTGCAAATAGAAAGCAGCATAGATAATTCAATACAGACAGCTTATGTATGTTATATTTACCTCTAGCAGTTGAACCATTTTCTGAGCTCCTTCCATATCCAACTTGATTTCTAGAGCCCTCGTACACATTGAAAGCTTGACTTGCATTGCTCAGGCCATCATAGGCATCAAAATCGATTGAAATTATTGGTGCTGCAACAGAAGATCCACTTTGAGAAGGTTCCTGTGATACCATGTCTATCTGGATTGGGTTTGAGGGAGCCATAATACTTTCTAAGACGGCATCTAATGACCCTTGAACTGTTTGTGGAATCCCCGTATCTCTGACTTGAACAACAGATGCATCCTGATATGTCCCTTGATTCAGAGAAATATGATTCCCTGGATGTTGATTCATGTCGGAGTTATAAAAAACTTCTTGATTACCATAACACCCCAACATATTCTCCTCAATGGCTTCCCTCGCAGTATGATAGTTTGTTAATTTCTTCCGCTCTAAGGTCCCCTTTAGCATGCTTACAACAGAAGAAATATTATCCGCACCATCCACTTGCTGTGCTTCAAAAGTTGATGAAGATGAATTTGATGGAGACATAAACGTATTAGGTTGGTTGGTAACTTCACACATTGACATGTCAGTGTACCCAGTGGGATCAGAAACTACTTCTTTGAAGTTATTAACAGCATTTCCAGGTATATTTTGCAAGGCTTCACGAGCTAGTGAAGACTGTGAGTTTTGCATGGCTGCATACCTCCTCCTACAGAAATTTTTAGGGAAATAACCAAATATCACAAGAAATCATCAGCATCCAGCAATAACAATATCAATGGAATACATCGATGGAAAAAGGATTCTCCAATTAGTGTTTGGAAATTTCTTGTATGTGGAAGCCTTCAATTCAAACTAGATAAAATCAATCTATATAAGAAAACAAAAAATTCTTGAGGGTCTACTCCAAGTTTATATATAATGCTGAGTACAGCAACCAAGGATATTGTTTCCCAATCTCAATAAAGGATGCAATATGAAGGATACCTTAACTCAGATGAACGACTTCTCGTCATGGGCTGAGAACTATGGAACCAGGTCTGCAAGAAAGCTCTGTATGAGATATCAAAGAGAAATTCTAAGAAAGATATCAGCAATTACAGAACAAACCTTGGCTAAAAACAGATTACTAGCTTGCATTTCCCTATCTGTCACGTTCCTGATGACAATAGAAAAATGGTTATTACCCCCAAAAATTTCAGAATGACTAATCATATGAGATAAATCGCTTGAAATATCAAGATTAGTTGAGCAATAACCTCAAGCTCACAAATAATGAAAATGAAAAGAGTAAGCCTAAGACAGCAAGAGAACACATTGCAATAGCGCAGAAAATGCAGTTCTTTTCTTCTTTTGAATTTTCAGTTTGAAATTTTCTTACACTGATTAAAATTAAATCATTCATGCCTAAAAACGTAAATGGTAGCACACACAAAAGGTATAGATCACCTGGTTGAATGTTGGTTAAGGTTGCTAGATGATTCATTGGCAATACATGTACTCTGTGGCTGTTGAGTATCGGTCATTTTTCTTTTCTGATTCCCCTCATTTTGCTGACTAGATAGACCAGCAAGTTCACTGGAGATCCTGCATTTTTAAACGAAAGGATGTCATAAATCTGATGCATCTCTCCACTGACATAGGTTATCATACCCACTTCTTATAGAACCACGTAAAATTGGATTCAGAATTTGAGTGAGAAGCTTATTAGCTACTCTGAGAAGTCGGCTTCCTTTGCATAACAAGAGGAAAACTGGGAAAGAACTGAACCTTTGTCTTCTTGTCTTATACTTTAGTATTCACACGAAAATCGGAGAATTGAAATGAAACAGAGAGTTGCATTCTATCAAGAAAGGATGAATTTCCCCCTTCTCAGTGATTCCTCCCTGTAGTCACTTTCTCTAATCCTTAACAAACTTTATAGTGTTCTACGTGTTGCAACCATTGCATCATGCACAAATACAACTTAAGAAGAGAAAGACCTTTAGAGTACTCTTGCAACAACAAGTGAAATGATAAAAGTGATTGTCTTATTGAACATCCAAACACACTAACCTTCGTGATGCTTGTCGAGCACGAGCCATTGGTGTAGAATCACTGCCATTATTCTGAGAAGCAAACAGTAAAGAATCAGTCATGATACCGAAAAACAAGCAGGCAAATATAGAACTGCTATACATGCTTTATAAATACCAAAAAATGGATAAACGTTATAATGAAGTAATAACTAAACAGTTGAGCTTATGCCTGAGGTCCTTAAAACAGCAGCATATCTTCCAAGATACCATTACGAAACTACAACCAATCAGCCATTCGTCTAGTAGTGACTTCTATTGATACCCAATGGCTGTCTCAGATATGGGAATAATTTCTTTATATGGTATCCAGAAGGTGAAATTACTCGGGTCTGATACTAAACATATCTCAATGTCTCATAGGTAAATAGAACATGAACACAACAGGCTTCCAAATTAGAAACTTGATACACAATGGAGAAAGAACTATGCCTGTCTTTTTGACCTTTAAATCAAGACATCCATGGAATAGTCCCCAAGTCTTTTAACCATAGTGTTTAACCAACAATAATACAGCAAGAAAATATAAAATTAGTCCCTGCTGGTTTTCCCTTCCTTCGCATTATGGATTAATGACAGCTTTGACTCAACCAAAAATTAGGAAACTGCGATATTATGCTACATATCTTTCTCAAATAAAAAATATGAGCTTATCACATAAGTCTATTTATAAAGGAGAAGCACTTCCATGCTTTATTATAATTGAAGAATGTACATCCATTATTAGTCAGAAGACAGTAGTAGCTCAGTTTTACACTTGGCATTTGATCAACAACTTTATCAGCTATTCTATATGAGACATATTCACAAGGATGATGCAAGAAGTTAACTCCGGAAGAATGAACTCATTTATATCTATATACATATAGGTGTTTGTAACAACATATCGGATTTGAGAATGCAACACAGTTAGATGAAAGTCAACATGTATAAGAGTGGAAGGATTTCTTGCCTCTGCACTTGTGAGCCAGCTTTTGAAAAGTTCCTCACTGTCGGTTCGAAGAGAATGAGAGATGTTTCTAAAACCCAACATCTCCATTGTAGGAACAGGCACTCCTCCTACTGAGTTGTCCATCATAGTTCTTATGAACAATTCTTCACTTGTGTTTCTATAGAAATCTGAATATCCTCTTCCCTCCATTTCCATTCCCTTCCCTTCCCTGAACTTCTCGACAAGGAAGTAGACTAAAATCTACTTTCTACCAAGATTTATTAACTAGTACAGTAATTAACACTTCCACCATTCATCAATCCCTCAACACATGGATGGAGCTACAAGCCTGTCTATGGGTTCTTAGCTTCACCCTAAATCCTTTTTTTTTTTCCAAAACTAGTAAACTGTCTTTCATATAATGCAAAACTCATAAACTCAGAATTCTAGCTCCGCCTCTGCCTCGACACAAAAGCCCACCTAGAGAAACAAACTGAAGAGATAATTTTTTATCAAAAACTATAATTAATACTCAAATGATATAGAAATGATCCGTGTCACAAGTTTTTTTTTTTTTACTCAACAAGTAGATATATTGTAGAAAAAAAATATGAAAGACTTTAAGACTAATACTAACAACTTTGTAGTTAAAAAAGAAAGAGAACTTGGTGTATTATAGAAGCATCAAACGTCACACTCAAGCTCTTCTCTTTCTGAGTCAAAAAAATTTGACAAACATGTAGTGGGCTTAATTAAAAATTATTGCAACAATTAATGGAATTAACATAAATCCAAATTGATTAGATGCCAATCACCTTATACTTGTCTTCTATCCCGTGTGAAAACTAAATATTTTTTTCCTAAGCTGACTAAAGTAACATACTCGGTGTAATCCTACATGTAGAAATCCTCGATTAGAGAGACTGTTTCCTATAGAACCCTCACTATATTAAGAATTGATCATTTTGTTGTGTACTTTAATTTGCTGTAACATATTAACTGCCTTATTTGGGTTTAGATTAAAGTTACTGGATTTTGTCGAACCTCCACCCCCTTCCTCTCCGCCCTGCACAAAATCTAAGGTACAACTGGATGTTGGGATGGAGAGGAAGTGGGGGCGAACAGAAAGTGATTGATTTTATTGATACAAATGCTTAAGTTGAATGATTTTATTGATACAAAACAAAATTTAATAATTTTATTAAATAAATTTCTAAAGTTGAATAACATTTTGAGATATTAACTCATTATCCTTTCATTGCAAAATTTACTTTTAATCTTATACCTCTCCTTGTTGATAATAAAGTTGTATTATGCCGCTGATTGAATTTAAAAATTATTCACCTAATCCAACTTCTGAGGAGTATTTATTAAATTTTACGAAATGCCCGTTGAAATAAAATAATAATAATAATAGAATAAACAAATGTTGTGCCACTTGATAACTTTCATCAGCAATTCATAATGAAAACTACATTAATTGTTTAATAGTATACTTAAATTATTCTTTCAGTAACCTCATGATTAAGACATGCTCAATAAAAAAAAACTTAATCATTAACTCATGATAATATCTTTATGGAAAATTTACTTGACGTTTAGAAATATTTAGAGTGTATTTATCGATTACAGTTTCAAAAATTATGAAATGTAGTTATATTTGGATTTTGTAGCTAATATACAATACATGTATGCACTGATACAATATGCATTGATATAGCTCTTTCACGCAATTTCAGCTACCTCATTGCATGAACAACAACCCTCCTGTGACCCGTCTGATACAACAATAGTAACTACGTCTTATAAATACATTTCATAACTATACTCTAAACTATGGGTATTTATAAAATTTTATTTATTTTTATCGGTCAATAATAGAAATTTAAAACCCTTGACTAGCAATTTGTTCTTTAAGAAAAATTTAAGAAATACATAAAAGATGTTTGACTGGAGGAATAAAATTTAGTTTGTTAATTTTCCTCTGATTAATCACTGGAGGAAAACTCCAAGAATGCACTTTTGCATATGCATTTATTTATTTAGACTCCAGAAATATTATGTATAACTCCATTTATTTATTTTTATTGATTATATAATGTTGCACAACGTCATCATATAAAACTGCTCTAATTATTCTCACATCAAGAAGAATATGCCTAGTGCATTAATAGATTATAATTCTTTAATTTTTAATGGAAAATAAATAACTGAAAATAAAATAAAATAGGGTGTCTATCAATGAGTCTTAATATTTTGAGTCAAAGTTTAATTGAATATACATTTGAAGATTTTAACCGGCAAAATAGAATTGTTTAGTGTTCTTGTGGAGTATCTTTTGGAAGGCCGGCAAGCTATTATTAGGGGGAGTGTGGGCTGACCCTTTCAACAGTTACCTCGCGTGATTGAAATTCTTTCCATTTTTACTTAAAGATCTCAAATTCGAGCTGTGAAATGTAGAATTAGTGGAGTTTGTAGTGCTCATACGAGCCAATAATGGGTGGTTGACGTAATGGGCTCACTAGTGCAAAGTCAAATTAACCGAGTCAATAAAACCACACTTGACACAAAGTTAAATTAGTCGAGCCAGTAAGTTTCAAATATTGAATTATTAAACTAGAAAAAGAAAAAAAAAAGAGAAGCATTATAAATAGTTTTGAGTCAACTAAAAGATGTCTTGCTTGTATGTATGTACTAACTAATTCTATATGATTTTGGCATTAACTACTACTAACTTGACACAAAATTAGGAACAGAAAGCATAATTTGACTATGTACAAGGTATTAACTTCATCCACACTTGGTCTCATTTTTTCTAACAATAAAATTCATGATACCTTTCCACAAGCATCATTTGATCAACATAGGAAGCGTGTTGACTAAGTAGCTCCTCCATGTGAGTTATGTCGTAGACAAAGTTATCTCGAGATTATAGTTCTGGAACTAATTTATCCCACCTCTCATATGGGATATTAAAATATCAAGTTTGAAGTATAAATTTAATCTTGGAACATCTCACCTTGTCTCATGAACCTAACGACCCACACTCCAATGTCAAGTTGTGGACAGATGAAAACAAAGTCATAATTTAGGCAAGAAACTGTGAAATATATGGTTGAAATTAATAGTATTGAACCATCCACCACCAGTATCCACTCTCAATAAAAATAACAAAAGGGAGAGAAAAGGAATTATAGAAATCTAGGTAACAAACTAGTCACTAAGTAGAAAGTAAAGGGTATACAAAATGTCAATAATGGCTTTAATATCAAATTCATTGCAATTCATTCTCCAAAATCTTCCCCTGAATGAATGGTCTGCATTTGTAACTCCTAGAAAATTCTACAACAAACAATAGCGATGAGGATAACGCTGCATGTTCAGGTATGCGATATTTCTGAGCCAAGAGCCACCCCTACCTGATAAAAGGCATGCATCAGCTATAACAACATCAGTTTCAAGTAATTAAGCAAATCATAAATCACATTTGTGTCATAAAGTAAACTCATTTCAACAAATAAGCATATTGATAATTAAAAGAATGGACACATTTGTTTTGATTAATAAACCTGTGTAACTAATTATGTCCCTTGGCAGTTGGCAATATCAAATGCAACTCCAGTCCCACAATTGATCCCATGCACAGAGTAACCCCATCCCCCATTCACTTTCCAAATCCCATTACCTACATTGCGTACACTTAATCATGTTCAGACATGGGACTCAGGAATTGAACAAGCAGAGATCAGCTGTTACAGGATTGAGCAAGCAGAAGAACACCTCAACTTTGTGGTCGACCATATGAATCCACCCCAAGTCCCAGACCATGTTTCTCCATTTATCTCAGACCAACATTATACAAAATTAAAAATAAAAACTTTAGATTTTTCTTCTTGCATAAAAATCTGCAACAAGGCTAAAAACACTTCTAGAAAGCATATGACCTAAAGTAAATGTCCTAATTGACAAGCATATTTCGGACAAATTTGTATCACCTATATAGATCTTTTGTTTCCATTATGCTATATATTTGCATGGATTCCATGAGATAGTAGGTCTTTTGAGAGCACTTCCCTTCTATGACTAACATCAATCCTTTTCTTTTTCTTTTTATTGTTCTCTCCCTTTTTTGACTTTTTTCATTTCCATTTCTGTTTTTGGTCTTCCACGGAGGACCATTTCACAGAAACGGCTGCTTCTAAATTAAAAGTTCAAAGCATACTGTAAAATAACATCTACTTGACCCTTGCAAGAGCCCAAGATTAACTTCTACCTCCAACAACAGATTCATAACAAACTATCTGCCAGAATTATCAAGGCATGGGATGTTTATTTACATTTTTGTATAACTTTTTGAACAATTCATTAGGGGGTTCATCTAATAGACATGTAACACATACTGTCTGCATTAAAATTCAACTCAACCATAAACTTGAAGAAGCAAATTTTGCAATTTTTTCACATGTAACTGAATATCTGCAAAAGGCCTATATCTTTGATATTCCTTTTTTCTGATAGGTAGATCTTGATATTCCTTCGTAGTGCCTAGATACATATACTGAAGAGTCTGAGCAACATAGATTTCTTTACCATCTAGCTCAAATGTACTTGGTAAGTGTTGATGCAATGATTACCCTCTTTCCAATAATGACCTAATTTTGATGTTTGTAAAATGTTCCCTTTTTTTTGATAAATAAATTGTAATCTACTGCTCATTGAAAAAATACAATATAGTAGAGTAGATCATTGCATAGAGTTTGTAGCATTGGCTCTTCTTTGTTCTTATTCTACTTTATTTGCTAATTCCAACATTCATACAAATACTACTACGCCTCAATTCCAAGCAAGTTGGGATTGGATATATGAACCCTCACTGACCATGTCACTCTATTTAAGCTCATTTAAACACAAATGACTGATTCTAGCATTCATAACATTTATAAAATTCCTACCATAAGAATGAGCAAGTGAGCAACAAACAGAACTTTTCCCCTTTAGCCTCTTTTCGACGTTAATGCCTCTTTGAACTTCTAAATCTTGCCCAACTGCGGTTTCCCTTAACGAATATTTTACATGTCAACATAAATACCTAAAATCCACTCTATTTTAGTGGATTTTACTGCAAGGAACAGATATTACCCATCAAGCAAATTATTATAGCCAGTTACGTGTATAAGTAAACATGAACACTCCTTTATAAATTTAAAAGAAGTATAGACGCCTAAGAAGAACCATACTCAATCCTCATTTCTGTGATGTAACCTGACTCAACCATAGAGA